CTGAACAGCCTGTAGCCATCAATAGCTGCGCTTCAGTCATGGGATTCATGCCACCACGTTTCAGTGGTGGCCACCAGGTCATAGCCGCCTAGCAGCATGGTGGCTTCCAACTCCTCCTGTTTGTTGCCCATGCTGCGTGCATTGGTGTGAAGGCACTTCAGCTGGGCCATCGGCCGTATCTCCTTCTTAGAAGAACACCCCTTAGCTCCTTTGGAGTACTCCACTGATGTTCCCCCATTGGCTTCTATCGCCTTGGGAGGCTCTGACTCCTCTCTGTAAGACTTCAGTTGTGCTCCCATGGGGCTAACACATCTCAGGGCCACCAGCTGTGGACCCTTACTAGCTCCCTGCCCCTCTATCTACAGCGTTTCATCCTGCAGCTTGTCACAAGCGAGCCTAGTTTTGTCCCCGTCCCCCTTCGTTTCTAGTTTAAAGCCCTGTCAATGAGCCCTGCAAGCTCCTGAGCAAAGACCCTCTTCCCCCTTTGAGAAAGGTGGATCCCATCTGATGCCAGCAGAGGTAGTCACTCCAGCGGATGGCTTGAGATGTTGTAAATCTGGTGGGTTTTATTATGTTTTTTAGAGAAAAGTAGGGTTAACTTTCAGATTTTCTTATAGGCCTCATTTGGCATACACATAATTTTCCTCAGATGGGATATCTAAGAGAAATACTGTTTATTATTAGGCGATCAGTAAAAGCAAACCCACTGTTTTCCAATGCAGTGTGTTTCCTTGCACATAAGGTGTGTTACGTCGTGTCCTTCCCAGAAATGGAGGGAATAGCATTTCTCTCTATCCTTCAAGGCTGCTGTTCTAAAGTTTTGGCAGAAATATTGACAATTGGCATGGGCAGAAATGGTGGTTTTGTTTGGCAGTGTTTTAATCGCAGTGCTTGAATGCAGGCTTGAAAGATAGGATGCTGTTGAACACTGTCATACTGCTGCATCGAATTGTGTATGTATCAACTGGAAACAACAGGGGTGATTTTTTTTTCATGTAAATATAGCTGGTCCTGAAGATAGAGTGAAGTTTGGGTTCCCCGGTCCTGACATAGAGAGCAGATGTTGCATCTGGGGCAGGCAGATGGCCCTGTCCATGAAGCAGGTCACCAGCAAGTTTGGTCTATTTGGGCGAGAAAGCATGGTGACGGACGGTCAATTCAAGACCCGACTTGTGCGTAGTCCTGCCAACAGAACTTTGGAAGATGAGGGATCTCACTGATATAAAGGTTACGACTTAACATTGAGGTTTTAATTCACCTGTAGCATTTCATCGTTCTTGGGAGGGCGCCTTGCTCTTGGCAGTTGCGCACAGCTCGGGCACTGAGGAACGGCAGACTTCTGAACTCTCTTTTTTCTTTGTAAGTTTGGCAGTTGGATGTTGGGTAAAGAGATGCGGTGTTAACTACTGTGGACCAAATTTGACCTTCCAGAATTTTTTGCCTCGGAGAGGTTTTCTGTGCGTGAATCACAAAAATAATTTTGAAAACTACACTTATACACTTTCCACATGGAATAGAATTTCATATTTTCACTGGGTGTTTGTGTATAATAACAACTGTGCTGACTAGTAAAGCCTTGTTTTACCCCTCACCTCTTTATACATGTAACACCATAGCTTAGTTTAACCGCTAAGTACAAATGCTTGCTTTCATAAATATGCTTTTATAGTTAAAGTATTCTTATGTAGTGAAATTTTACTCCTCTTGAGGTAATATATTAATAATTACCTTTCTAATTTTCTGCACATGAATAAATCTGCAAAAAAATTATTAGTGGTTTATAGCATTATTCACTTATTCTTTTATTTCCCAGGTGTGTTAACTAGTAACTAACTGGAAGAAGTAAATTATTTGAGTCCAGGAAGTTAGTGACATGATGCTATCATTCTGTATTCACGTCTTTAATTGTGAAATTCAAATTGGAGGCCAGCCAAGGGATAGTGAGGTGGTGATGTCAAATGCAGTGGAATTTATTGCTTATAAAGAATATTTCTATATAGTGGATTACATGAGAAAATAAAAATCAAAATTAAGGTCTTTCTCATGGCATTATTTTTAATGACTACATCCTGACTTAAATACAGAGGGTTACTTTAGAGGGAGGGGAGGGGAAATTAGTACAGTGTGAATGAGGAACACTTTATGTTTAAAAGATTCTGGGAAACAGTAGTGTTTGTAGATGCGCCAGGGTACATAAAACCTAGGAAATGCATAATTAGAGAAGAAACTTAAATACTTCCATCGTCATAGAAGTATTTTATATTAGTTACGCCAAAATATTTTACTAAAATGCACTCTAATTCTAGGCTGCTTGCTTTTTGCAGGTTAATAAGAGAGTAATGGTCAGTTACTTTTTACGCATAGCGCAGTCGTAGTAGAGTTGTAGTTGTAACCATGTCTTCTCTTACTTCTGTGGAAAGTTCAAATAGTACCTGATTTAAGGAACCAAAATTTTCTTCTCTGCTGGATTACAGCGAATTAATTTTCTTGTTTTGTATTGCAATGCTGACTTAGGATCATAGTCCAAGATCGCGGGTGTGTAACGTGCACAGAGTATTTCCTGCAGTAGAGGCGAATGTCCACTCATGGACCTTTGTTCTTTCTGGCTTTCATTGCTCAGTCGTGAAAGTCCATCGTTATTAGCACTGCAGCAGGTTGGATTTCCAGAAATTAAAGAAGTTACGTTGTTGTATTTATTACACTTATTACACTTTATAAGTAAGTTGTATTTATTACACTTCAGCATGATGATGCATTATTCTCATGTCTCTTTAATAACCTATTCTCACGTCTCTTTAATAACCAGTTTGCTGTAATTATAGAAACAGAAGGGCAAGGTTGAATTTTAAGCGTATGTTTTATAGGATATATGTTGATTGAATTCTTGTTTTTTCACCTAATCTTCTATGTAATTGTTGCTCATGTAAAACAAAAAGTTAGCTACAGAAGCAGTTTATGTCTGATCAAAATGTGGCAGTACTTATTGCTTAGATTGACATAATGAAAATAATTCTCAGTGTTTTTTACTTAGAGCTTGAGATATAAATGCTTATGGGTGATGGACAGTAAAGGACTATGAGGAGCGGCAGCTTCTGTGTTACTACAGTAAGACAGTCATTAACTAAAAAAACTGCAGAAATGTCTTGATCTGTGCTGGTCTTTTTAGGGTCAAGGAGAAAAGGCAGAAGAGAAGTCCTCTCAAATAATTTGGTGGAGGTCAGGAAGGATATAACAGAATACTTAATCTTTAAAACAGTGTGAAACCTGGAGTGGAGCATGCAATAACCTAGAAGTGGCTGTGACAAAGCACCTATGTCATAACTGTAGATCCTGAAGGAATATATTTTCCACTGCTCAAAGGTCAAAAACAATAATAGGATTTATCAGGTCTCAGCCTATGCTATGCTTGAAATTAAGGAGGGGTTGGTATGAGACTTGGCCGATCAGCTCCATTACAGGACAGGTTTATTGTAAAGCTGTGTTCTTGTCTATAGAAGCATGGCAAAAAGTCATGATGTGTCACTGTGCTTTGAGTATTTCAGTGAATGGACTCTAGGGTACAGAATCACAGAATAGTTTGGGTTGAAGGGACCTTAAAGATCCCCCAGCCCCCCCCCCCCTGCCATGGGCAGAGACACCTCCCACCAGACCAGGTTGCTCACAGCCCCATCCAACCTGGCCTTGAACACTTCCAGGGAGGGGGCAGCCACAGCTTCTCTGGGCAACCTCTGCAACTGCCTCACCACCCTCGTTGTAAAAAATTTCATCTTATATCCAGTCTAAATCTACCCTCTTTCAGCTTAAAACCATTGGACCGTGTCCTGTTGCTACAGTCCCTAGTAAAAAGTCTTTCTCCATCCTTCTTAAAAGCCCCCTTTATATATTGAAAGGCTGTGGCAAGAAGAGTAGGTTGATCCCGACTTAATACAACTCTGTTGTTTGTGGGTTAATTTTTTAAATGATGTTACTTCCTTTGTCATTTTTAATCTATGTATCTTCTTAATTTTGTTGCTGTGGTGGATGAGACATGTTAAAATTGCAAAATATTTTTAAGGACTTGTGTGAAAATGGATCTTCTCTGCTTGATATTCTTGGTAGTCCTTTCCAGGTGACTGTTTTCCTGTTCTGTTTCACAAGGCTGATGAATTGATAACCATCTTTTCACTACCTCCCAAACTTTGTTCGCTTAAGCGCTCATGGGAGTAGTGCATTTTCTTAGTTTCTTATTCTTTCATTGACAATTCATTCTGTATTTCTTTTGTGCACTCCATCAGTTGTTCTTTCTTCCCACCTTTATTGGCTGCTTATTCTCTTGCTGGTAAAATGACATTGAAGGAAGTGGTGTTCATTTACTTAGCAAGGAAATTAATGTAAGCATGCGTTTACCAGATAGAAAAATTCTCTGTTCCCAAAATACCTTGGACTTTCAGGTTACCTGTAATAGAATCTCAGATCTGGAAGAGCTACTGATAGCCAAAGAAAAATAGGTTTTTTTAGTATCTTCTGGTTAATCTTGGATATCCATCAGGATGCTTGTTGAACAATGACTTACCACAGAACCCTGAAGTTGTTTGGAAATACTGGAGTTTTGCTGTGGTATAGGGAGGAAACACTTCTTAGTAGGATAGCGTCTGCTGCTTGGAAAGATTTTTACTGTTACATTTTCTTATTAGTGTTAGGGTTTTGTTGTCAGCAGCCTTGACCTAAGTACCTACAGGCTTTGGACAGACCTGGGCACCAACAGCCACATTTTGTAGAGGATTGCTGAATGGCAAAGTTATGTTCCTTGGTTCTGGTATTTCAGATCTCATCATGGATTTCTCATCTGTGTAAATGAAAATATTTCAATGAAATCATTAATTTTGTGTCTTTTTCTCTAGCGTGAATGAATTTAACTGTCATGTAATGTGTATATTTTCTTTTCCTTTTGCAGGTTATCTTCCCGGGAAACATCACTCTTTGTATGTAAAGAATATCTTACTGAGTTGCTGCAACCGAGTTTAGAATGTTACTTGACTTGTGATTCTGATGGAGGAATAACCAGATCTCAGGCTGCTGCACTGGAAGACTTTACAGGAAATACAAAATGTCATCGAATAGGAGTCAGAACCCACATGGACTTAAACAGATTGGTCTTGACCAGATATGGGATGACCTAAGAGCTGGAATTCAACAGGTTTACACCAGACAAAGTATGGCAAAATCCAGATACATGGAACTCTACACGTATCCTAATGCCTAAGCCAGTTAGTACTTTCTCTGTTAGTAGATTAGAGATAGCTTTTTACTTTCCTAAACTCAAAATTGCTTCTTGACTATTTGACTTAGTGGCTTTTAAGAATGTATTTTTATTTTGAAGATTAGCCTTTTCTATTTCATCTTGTTGGCAAATAAGCAGGAACATTCTGTTGTCTTGAAAACTGTCTTTGTAGTTATGGCTACTTCTGAATTTCAGGTTTGATTACCATTATCTTTGACAAAGCAGGTGTTTAAAGTGATTTTATTAATAGGTCTAATTTTGAGTCCACAATACACCAAAAGAAAACAGAAAATTTTTTTCCTTTATATGTTAGTCTCTGGCATTCTGCTGCGGGTCTTACTGGTAATGATGTCTGGTTACCTGGCGAATTTTTCTCATGTCAACCTCAGAGTAGTACTTTGCTCTGGAGTTGGTTTTATAATTTTCCAGTTGGATTGAGAATGCACCCAGTGGATTTCTCTTGAACTTCTAGCTTGCGTCAGAGAGCTATTGACATTTTCCAGCATCTCGCCATTCTGGGAGTTGTTATAAGATGCTAAAAGGGGGTTGTGTTCCTCCTTGTACGCGAGTGCTGGAGTACTATTTGGAAGATTGTAGGAAACTTGTTTCTGTCAGGTAGTGCGTAAGGATCTTTTATAACTAATTTGAAGACGAGATGTGCCTCTTGTGGTATTGTAACTTCAGTGTTTAGCTTCAGGACTCCGTTTGGAAAGTGAGAAATCCTTCTTTTATGTTTCACCTATAAAGTGGCACATAAATGGATTTGGTGAGGAGCCATCTTTGTCTTGTATCCGTTGTTCTGTGTTCACTCTTGTAACCTTGCACTGCTCCATAGAGCAAGTACTGTTTAAGAAGATGGTGGTACAGCAAAGTTTGTAGACATGTGACACAAGAAATGATGATCGAATACATTTCCCATCTTACTTTAAGTAGTCCTGCTATTTTTCTTTATCAATTTTTAGAGGTTTTTAAAATAAAGGTTATTGTTCTGATACATAAATTAACGTCTAAAGCTGTTGTTGCACTGATTTGGAATTGCATATCAAATTTTAGTCTGTGTTAATTGTTTTGAAAGGACAGAGCTTTTATAAAAGGAAGAGGAGCTTGAAGGCTATAAAGCAATTAATTCTGTAGTTCTCTGGACTTTCTAAGAAGTCTGTACATGTAATCTCAGAGTTGATGTGTAATCTTCTCTGTGCCTGCAGAATCAGTGCTCCAGGCAGGTGTGGGAAAAACCCTGAGCAGTCTGCTGAGTGTTTCTAGGATACTTCTTTAACAGTGATGGGAAGATGAAGTAACATTTGGTTTAGGGTCAGAACTTTGCCTCAGACTTAAAATGACTGATTTCTTGCAGCGCTGGGTTCGGCATTGTTCTTGACTGAATGAGACAAGTCTGCAAAAGTTGAATGTCTGATAGAAATCTGACATGTAGTAGAACTTCTGAGCGTGTTTTTTCATCTGAGTGCCTTTAATATATTCCTGTTTGTGAAGTCTGTCATGCAGGGCAGCTGAAGACTAAGTACTTATAATAATGGTAATGTTGAAACATTTACTTTTTTTACTCTCCTGATATTCTCAAATATTCTTGGAATGAAGCTGTAAAAGGGGTATGTTGTCTGTTGACAATTCATTTCCTTCTTGTCGCTGCTTCAAGGAGTTGTTGGGCCTGAAACTAAGGTTGGTTTTTGTTACTTTCATAAGTGGCTTAGTTTAGTGGATAGTTTGGGTGGTTGACTTTCATTTGTGTATTACTTTAATGCTCTGGTAACTCAGAATATTTGGTGCTGTTTAGGCTGAGAGTTTTTAATCTACTGTGAAGATAACAATGCACTTTGCGTCCTATACCAAGCGCGCGTATTCAAAAGTTGTGCTTAAAAGATTACTCCCCTTTCAGATGCAGTATCTGTAACGCATTTGCTCAGTCTTTGTGTACAGCAGGTCTAGTAGATTGACGGACTTTTTTGGGGGGAAGCTCTGCCTACCAGACAGCTTGGTTTGGAAAGCAGAACAGATGCAGATGAGTTTCAGCTGCAGCAGTAAGTGGTCTGAAGATCAGCCCTACTTACAAGGATGCTGGATGCAACAGCAGTTTGGAAATCTTGTGCCATGGACAGTTTAGTCATTTCCTCATCCTCTTTTGTCCTTTTTTCCCCCCTTTTTTCCTTTTTTTCTTTTTTTTTGGTCAGGGTATTGCTCCTGAAGGGGATTCCATTTCATCCCTCTAATTTATAAGAGGAGGAGAACCATGCATACAAGCAAACCTGCCTGTAGTCCCGTACCTGGTATTGAATTTTCAGTCAAAATTGATTAGAGAGATGGAAGTTTTTGTTGTGCCTTGTTCAAGTGAATCTGGGTAAGAATTGGAAGAATTATGCAGTTCAGATGATTTGGACCTCCATCCTTCCTCCACTCATTTCCTTTGTTCAGAGTGTCTCTTTTTGTGAGACACTAGGTTCTGTCTCTGAGTACAGACCAGAGTTTGTACTTAAGGTGATCTTTTTCCTTCATTCCAGCGGGAGAAGGAAGAGGCTGATTATTCCAGGGGTTTTCTAGATCTGAGAATACTGAAGAGATGAACCAGGAAATTTTGTTTCTGAATGGTGGTTATCAAGATCCGCATCCCTGCTTTTTCTAATTTAGATTCATTTGTGCTTCTGATTGCAGGGTGTATTTTTTGTGAGATCATCACCAAATGTTTTCCAGTACTGCATATACTTTAGTGATTCCTTTGGCCCTGCCAGCTATGCCTAAGCACCTAACCAGAACAGCAGTCCTTTATGGAAGCTGTGAAATTTT